TTCGCTAGACGTTCGAGGAAATACTGGTCCTGCAACTGTGTCATTGCCCAGCGCGTCCCAGACGAGAATCTTTGCAGATGATCGTGGTGCAGAGGCTGTCACTCGTGGTGATACTGAGGCTCTGTTCGAAGACAGAGAGTTCGGTTCGCTGCCCACCGTCAAATTGTCCAAGGTTCCGCACCTCGCAGCCAATCAACCACCCAAGGCCGCGCCCAGAGATGAGCAGCACCCGAGGCACAAGAAGTTGGAGAACCCGTTCACCATCCGCCGCCTAGAGGCATTCGACATTGAGAAGACGACACAGAACAGGCTGAAGTTCGACGTTGTTGTGCGCCTTGCAAACATGCGCGAGCCTGTCACTAAGTCGGTCCAGCGGAAGCACTACGGCCCAAAGCTCAACCGCCAGCCGAAGCCCAAAGCGACTAGTACGCCGAGCACCACTTCTACCAACAGTGCTAAGGATCGCCCGCGCAAGCCCTCGCACCAAAGTCAGACAGATCGTTCCTACAACAACAGCTCTTCGCGCCCGTCTGCTCCCAAGACTTGGTCCACCAGCAACAACAATGCTCCTCGCTCATCCCCAGCTCACACAGCTACAACTTGGGCTAAGGTTGCAACGGCCTAAGTGTCGTCCACAGTCTCCCTCGTTAGCTTCAACCACTGCTACAAGGAATGTCCTTCTCGTTCGACCACTGTCGCCGCACATGTATAGGACTGTCTGATAACTCTTCGAAGTGCTTACCCTGGTCACTCTACGTACTGTTCTCATCGCAGCACACCATTTCACTCTTCTTCCTCTTCAACAGCAGTATATATTGCGGCATCTTGTACCACAACGGTTTGAGTGGATCACAGGGTCGCTTTTCTTGGGAGGCAGTGTACTCCCGATCTTTCTTCCACTGGACTCCAAGTCCTCATTTCTTGCTTTGGCGCGACATCACTTTCGGGGTCAGCATGTTTTTCTTTCCTTAGACCTTCGTTCATCTCCTTGCCATGACCGGCGTCAGGACGCGAGTATGGGTATTGACAGCTACGACGGGCCATGACCTCGTGGATGCGGAAATGGGATGACGATAGAGGATTTCGTGTACTGCTAATAATACTTCTGAAACTTCATACTGCTTTACCCTGCTGTTCTTGTGATGGCGAACTACTCTTCCTCTGCTTGGAAATATAGGACTATGCATCTAATTGCCTCACCGGAAAGTTGACGGCTTCAAGATTTGTTCCTCCAACCTGCTTGCCACTCGCTGCAGTGATCAGCCCATCCAGCCAATCTTGGTGTCCTAGGAGCATCTTGTTCGGCTTCTGCTCCTCCCAATCCTTGAAAATCTGCCCAATCTGACTCTCCTGTGTCAAAATCCTCACCCTCTGCCCCTCCAGATCCTCTACAACCCACGCATGATAAATCTCCAGTCCATCCGGCGTCTTGGAGCTCCATGCCAACCTGCCCGCGCGCCCGTTACTCTCCGGCGGCTCCGACTCCTCGACCGTGCAGGTAAGCGGCGGGAATCCGAAAGTGCTGAATTTGAAGACGTCGCCTTTGTGCAGGAAGGTGCTGTCGGATGACGGAGGAGTGATTTGAGCGCAGTTCTTGTAGTAGGATTCCCATTTTGAGATGTTGGCTAGTAGGGCCCAGATTTGTGTGCTGGTCAAGTCTTTGGCGATGCGCTCGTTGGAGACGAAGTTGTCGGTTGTGCCCGGGAGGAAGTGCGATGGCCAGTTGATTGCGGATTGGGTCGCCATGTTGTTGGGTGAACAGAGTGTTTTTTTTAGATGTCCTGTTGTTTCTGTGTAGGATGATGTGCAATCAATATGAGAACGTAGAAGGATGTTGTACATAGATACTTAGCCGTTCATGTATCGATGGATATCGTTGACGCTAACATGTGGCGCTTGTACATCATTGCGCATGGGAAAGACTACATCCGCGAGGATCCACAACTACACTGATTTGTCACTTTTGAACCTGAGCGGGAATGCTTTTAGCAATATTTTGCGCATTTTGTTTATTTCTTGGGAAAATGATCGTGGCTCGAGGTGCTATGCGCAAACTTTAATGTCGACGTCATAACGAAGGCCTGATCTCGACGCAAAGCAGCCACGTCTGTGATCCACTAGTAGAGAACATAATGTCCACTCAACCTTGAGAGCTAAAAAAGATATCGACGAAAGAGATGAACGCCAGGGTACAGTTCTTTGACCCAAGTTTTTCCATGTTGCACTGCCTAGTGCCCAATAGCTTTATAGACTGTCGTTGACCAAGATCTCATTGTTGAAGTGGAACTCCGTGACGGCGACGAGGAGCTCATCTTGTGCGCTGCTCATTGGCAACCCATTGGCCATCATCGCTTTTCTGCAATCTTCGTCACGCCAACAGTCATTCCTGACGTCATGGTGCCATGCCAATGGGCAGAGAACATGCCCAGCCTTCCTGACGACATATTTCTCGATAACTACATCGCCAACTAGTCTCTGGTCTTTCATAGCACTGTCGGTACGTGAGAATGTCACCACTGCTTGCAGGTACTTGCGCTGCTTGATCCAATCCCGCAGCCCCTCCAACATGAAGTAATCCGCCTCTGCCTCGACCCGGCTGTAGAGAGCATAGTCGAAGCCGTCTTTCCTCGTCCAGTAGAGCGGAAACCTGGAAGGCCGACGCATAAAGCTGAGTAGATGCTCGAATGTAAGCGCATCCGCGTCGACGTAGTATGAGCCGTCGGCCTGGAGGTCCGCGCCCTCTTCCCAGCGATTGAGTAGACCCTCAAAATAAGGCGAGACCGAGAGGACTGATTTGGACGTACGAAATTTGCGACCGGATACGTCGAGCGTGATCTGATTGTTTGCCATGATAGGAAGAGATGGAGATATACGAGCCGGAGAGGAGGCGGTATAAGAGAGGGGCGATGTCAGTTTTTGCGCTATGAAATGTGTGCAAGACCCTGGCTTCACGGTGCGACATCGCGTAATACCCTGTTCTTGAGACAAACAGGCGATCCGAGCAAAGTCACATGATGTCTTTGGCATACTAGCTTAAAACCCGCAGTGAAATCACATGAAGTGCTTCTGGAGAGATGCCATACTACATGCTAGATAAGAGCAACATCGCAGAGCGATCTCGTGAGATTCCATCGTCGCAGGCCATGAGAGCTCCTACTACGAAAATACATACTTAAAGCACCTTACATCCAACTGCTCAGAACGATTCGTGGTAACTGTATCGTCGTTACTTAGTCCATGTTCAATTAAACCCGGCTCATCTCGTGATCTCTTCCTGCGCTCACCCACAGCCACTCATCATCTTTCGAGATGTCCTTATCGTGAATATATGCGTGGGGCCCACAGATGTGCATGGAAGACGCGGGGATGTTACTATCAACAGAATCATGTGGCCGAGGGTATTGGCAATGGCAATTTGCGTCCATACACTGCGATGGCTGCGTTGACACTGCTTGCGCTGGTAGCGTGTACTGGGTTTCCAAATACCTCGCATCGTGATTCGGTACGTAGTATTGTGGCTCGACGTGAAGCCATGACGTTGGCTCCGCAGGTAGCGAGTAGTTCGCCTCGTAGCCCAAACCCCAATCGTGGAGTCTCTCGCAGTCGCAACAGTCGTAACCCATCTCATCGGAAGTCACTCGAGGAAGACCAAGGCCCGGAGGCTCATATAGGAATTGATCGAAAGATTGAACCATGCGGGGCACTGGAGAAATTGCGAGGGACCCCTTGTGTGGGTCGTGGCGGTGGGCGGTCAAGGACGGGTGGTTTACCACGTGGGCTGGGAAGGTCTGCTGCGATGAAGATGGTGCCATGCTGGACTGGAGTTGGATCGTCTCCACAGGTTGCCTTCCGTCGACACGAAAGGATTCCTCCGAGATGGGGATGCGCATGTCTGATGCAGATTGTGCTTTGATGCGCGTAGTATCGAGTTTGTGGTTGACGTTTCCCCCATCAAACCCTGGTCTTGAAGCTTCTGATGTGCTAGCCTGGGCTGCAAAATCCACCAGGAAATCGAGAGCGTTCATGCTGCCAGAGGATCAGAAAGAGCTTCGAGAAGATAGAGGACTAGAGAAGAGTCCAGGTATAGTCCTTGCCAGGGCGCCCTGATATCGTGACTGTTAACATTGATCTTCGAGGGGAAAGGTCACACTGATGGTACTCGCACCAAACGGATGTAGCAGTGCATCGTGTTGTTGCACCCGTGAGAAAACGACCTATCGGAAGCAAACCCATTGTCTGAACAGTTGTGATGATGCGATGTGATGGATCAAAAGCAGTCTGATGCATTAGAAGATGTGTGAGCCGTGCTCCTTCTTGAGTTAATCTCCTCGGTTCTTGTCGAAGCTCCTGTCACAAGAACAGCATCAATGCACAACACCTGGGCAGTCTCGTGGAACCAATATTCAGATGTATCGCACGGCTGCACGACTGCCTTTGTGTAGAACTCCCTGTGGGGGACTAGGAATGTTTCAGTGGAGGTCAGACCCCTGAGTTTCTTGGAAATCAATTAACTACGTTGCCTGTAGTAAGATCTGCATTGGTACTTGTGTTGGTACGACCCATCTTGTGTATGCCCGAAAAGCCCAGGTTGAGAGACGAGATGAATCCACCGGACAGCAGCGATGCGCTGGTGCTGCCAGACGGCTGAGGGCTACTACGCCAGATGATACGAATTTACTGTGTCTTCGCTCTGCGCACAGGAAATGGTGGTCAATATTGGCGTGCAGTCAGTAGATGCATGAGGTGGTATTGTCTGTTCAAGAGTCGGATCACCCCTCCCTGCATAGGTTGGCTCACGCCCGGCGCATGAGCTTGCCGCTAGCGCGGGCACTTGTTGACAATCCGAGCCCACTCATTCCCTCCACATCGAGCAATGCGCGCAGCGCGACGCGTTCAATGTGTCGCTTCGAGCTCTTGAGCTTGATCATTGTTTTTTTCGAGCGACTAGCGGCACGGAAGAAACGGTTTCGCGCACCCAGCGACCTGTCAGCGCCGCGACCATGCTCCACGAAATCCTCCTCTCGCTCTCCGGACACCCATCGGCGCTGTTCGATGCCCCGGACCACGTGACAGCAACTGCGCGTCGCCTACTGTCACCGCCCGAAGCAGAGCTGCTATCTTCAATCGGTCATCTGTCGCGTCTGCATCGAAGCACACGCGATCATGTCGCTAGAATCGCCGCGTCACATCCCTCAGTCATCTGCAGGGCGGTCGCTACTTCGATTACCTCTTACCATCTCGAACGGTTCCAATGCAAGGTACTGGAAGTCGAAAGCCGCGTCTTGAAACAAGATGCTTCCATCGTGGGTGCATACAATATCGTACCACTGGCTGGGATAGTGAGCGAGTTCTCGGAATGGACCAGGGTGATGGAATGGCTACGGGATATCAGCAACTACATGTTGCCCTCGGACGTTCCTGCGAAGTTCGAAATGATGATTGGAAAGGCTGCCTCTGGAGCTGCCGTCATTGACAAGCTGCGAAGCGAGGCACAGACAGGCTATCCGGACATTGAAGAGACTGCCCGGGGTCTGAGCAAAGTCGCAGAGACATCGTGGCTACGGCAGCTATCAACCTGGCTGCTGTACGGTCGCCTTCCATCGTTTGGTCGTTCCGATTTCTTCATTCAGCAAGGTGATGAGGATGCAGATGAGCAAGTCTTCGTCCTTCAGAACAAGCTGCTACCAAAGTTTGTCACAAGGCAAACGGCTCTCTCTATCCTGTTCGTCGGACGATCGCTAAATCAGATCCGCGCATTGCCATCAGCCGTGAAGGCGTTAGACACATCCAACTCGGTCTCGGAACTTGATCTACTTCCTAAGCACGTTCAACAACTCTCTCAAGTGAGTGCACCGGTGTCAACGGCCATGCTCTCGGAGGCAATTGCCAACATCCGCCTTTCGCTGTCTCGGAATCTCCTACAACACTTGTTACCTCGTGAGAAGATTGTTGAGACATTGACGGTTCTACATCAATTCTTCTTGCTAGGAAGAGGAGAGTTTGCCCTGACACTGATTGCAGAAGCAGATGATAAGATGTTATCTCGACATAAAGGGTCGCAGCCCACCAAGTCTGGCCAATCTGTCAAGGCAGTTGTGATCAAGGAAGCGGAGATTAACCAGGTCCTCGCACGGTCCTTCTCCGTTCTGTCTACCTTATCTAGCGAGGACGAACACACAGATGATATTCTGGACGTTGCAACTCAGCTTCTACATCTCAGTGTTAACGGCTCGTCTAATAACCGTCCTGGGACACCGGGCCGCGCTAAGGACGCGGACTCGATGCTTCCACAACTTGCCATCATGTCTTTCGACGACCTACTGCTGTCTGTACCAACGTCTTTAACGATGGACATCCGTTCACCACTTGACCTCTTCATAACAAAAGCAGACCTTGACGTTTACTCATCGATCAATGCTTCCCTTCTCGCAGTCCGGAGAGCACATCTGCATTTAGCAGAACTATGGCGATACAGTTCAATACGGAGAGACCATCCTTGTCCGCCTGGATATCAATACAGCAATTCCGCGCATGGTAAAGCAATGCTGAAGCGGCGACGACAACGCACTACGAAACGGGCGCAGGACATGCGGAAGATATGGGCGACATGCGCAGCCGCTATCTTCTTCTTTGCGGAGAGCGAAGCTTACTTTCATGGTGCGGTCGTACAACAATCCTTCGGTCATTTCATAGCATGGGTTACCGGTCCTCAAGTTCCTTCAACCGCGGAATCGTTGCCAGCAGCTTCCGACAACTTGAGTGCCACTGGCTTCCGCAGGTCGACGACAGAAGGAAGCATACGGCAACAGCATGATCCAGAAGCATTGGCCTCAGCACATCGCCGCTTTCTGTCTTCGGTCGCGTACTCGCTTCTGCTTACCGATCAAGCCTTCACAAAAGCGCTGCGTACCTTGTGCACCCACGTAGACGAGCTAGTGGCATACATCAAGCGTCTTACAAAGATCCAGCAGAACCTGGATCTGGAAGAAGATGAAGGTGTGGAGGACTATGCGCAAAACTACAAGAAAGAAGAGCGCGAGGTCAGCCTGGAGATGGACCGGGCAAGGAGGAGGCTTGACAGCGACCTCAAGACACTCGTAGAGCGGCTTCGTGAGATTGATAGCGACAGGATTGGAGCTTCTGCACCTGGTACATCAATTGGAGCGACGATGGAGGAAGGTGCCTATGAGCCATTGAGAGTAGGAGGTATCGACCGTCTTTTGATGAAGCTGGACTGGAGCGGCGAGGACGAAGAAGAGGAGACCGAGGACTTGATCGATCTTTAAAGTACATGGCTTTGTCCTCGTCAAACGTTTTCAGGGGCTTCTATCTTCGCGATCCTTGTTGGCTCTTGGCACTGTATCATGACCAATGTGGTAACGGCGGAAAGCGCGTTGATTGCGCGGTCGCGATGCCTCCGCATGGGACGGACTTTCTTCTGATGTCGACATGGGTGAGTATCGTCCAGGCATCATTTAGGTCGCCTCCCAACATTCTATCATCACATTCATCACACCACATCATACCGCTTCAATAGCTTATCAACATTGCTCTCTTGCATCAATACTGCGTATGTACCGGTGTTCACGCTCACAATTCGATGCTAACAACGCTAGGTCCGCTCAAAACAATTCCCTCCAATCCGCCTTCGTGTTCAACTTGACTCGATACGATCACTCCGCCGTAAGAGATTTCGCCATGTCTTCAGATCGCAATTCCGCCCGTTCTATCTACGGATTTGTACGGGGTACCGGAAAACGTCTCCCCGCCGAACGCGACGACCGTCCAGCATGCCTTCCAGCCACGTCAAACGAGGCATTGCCTAGGAGACGCCATTATATCTACCCGCGAGAAGACTCTGGAGTATACATGCCGACAGGACCGGCCGAGATAACAGGCAAAAGCTCTTCGTCGACTCCTCATCCACAGGCACAATTAAATCCCTTCGAGGACGCCCGATACGAATACGGTGCTACCATCTCTGAGACGCAGCCGTCACCTGGACCACTGGGAGGCCCACGGTGTATCACCTCTAATCCATCTGCAGTCACGACCATAGCGGAGTCGAAGGGTCGCAGGGGCTACCGGAGACGCCTACGAGATCGAATCCGGGCTATGTTCAGAAGAGAGGTGATCGCTTGCGGGTACCGGCCGTCCAGTGATAGAGCGCCTCTCCTAGGAGGGGAAGGAACACACCTCCGACGTGGCACTGTGCGAGGACAATGACTTATGGACCGGCAGGACGAGAGCAACGATTATCGTCTTGGTCATGAGGCTGCGCTGATTTGAGGGCGGTTTTGTGTTTCATGAGTTGGCTGTAATGCTTGTATTCTTTCGCACGTGCCCAGTAATTGAACCATCTTTCCAACAGTAATGTAAAACATAATGCGGCCGGATTTCTTTGACAAGCGAATGTATGATGACTACTGATGTGTATGTTACACATCTGAGCTCAAAACTTTTGTATAGTCTACTCTGTTGCACTTGCGACAGATGGATAGACTTGCTGCTATATAAATAGCATTAAGCTAGCGATAATATCACGATCAAAAAGTTCACAGGAAAGAACTGTTTTATAGGGTGGCAGGTAGTATTACAGCTAAGCAGTAAAAAGATGATGGTGGTTTGCCCCACATGAGAATCGAACGCAAGGATAAAAAAAGATGTTGTTCAGGTCGTGCCCGGGTTCTGTTCAATTGTTAGAATGTGATACTGAACAGTGGAATGCGAAAGACATACCGAACCGGGGTTACCAGAAAGTTTGAGAGAAGTCAAAATCTGGAGTGATAACCACTACCTGTACTGGCGGTTAGACAGACTTCATGAGAGCAGGGTTGGAGGAGACGTACACTACACAACCGTGTTTCTGGTGTTTGATGACCGAATCGTCAAAAATAAAATTTATAATCTTGAGCGCGTGTCGCATCAGCAGCCCACCAGATTTCTACGGACTAATGCCCAACGTTCACTACTCTAGTGTGTGGCGAGCGGGGTCGCAGATGTGTGGAGCGGGGCTTAGCCGGAACGCGGAGCTTGTGGGCAAGCTGGCCATCCCACATGCTCTCGGTAAGCATCGTTTGCGCTCGATGCTACAACTTCCGAATTCCTTCGATCCCCCATCGCGTGCTCTTGCATCGAGTCGGTGTAATGTCGCTAGTCGACGCATGAATTATGTGCAGCGAACCCTTCAGACGTCTCCAATCCATTGAGACGCGTCTTTGCCACGCCACAAACACGCGTCTCTACCGAAGCGACGCCACAAACATCTGCTTGAATGGTGTGCGCCAACCCTGGGCTTACGTAGCGATAAAGATGAAGAGAGACGGCGCAGGCGGTGGACGACGAGCAAAACAAGTTCCAGCCTCAGAAGGATGCAAGGGTCACACAAAGGGTAAGAACGGATGGGTATCGCATCCCAAATTGAACGCCAAGACATACGTCAGATGATGGTAATTCGCAGGAGGCAAGGTACTTGCGACATGTTACCTTGAGAAGCAAACAAGAGCCGCATGTCCTCTGCTTCTTTTGCTTGCGCGATCCTAGATCGTTAACGTCCCTGCCTACAAGCCGACTACACAATGACTGTCCAGCTCAACATCTTCTCGGCCAAGGCAACTTTCAACTTCACAAGCAACAAACCGGCAACTAGCGGCCCCGAACTTCCAGAAGTCGTTAGTGCGGAAGATGGTGATGACAAATCTCGGGATCAGTCGTTGTCGGCTTCTACTAAGACTTTCGTAGATGAACACGAAGATGTCATCGCGTTCAAGACGATCAACTGGCTAGCCGGAGTTGGGGATATTTGCAACGGCACCTCCAGAGAAACCGGCGAGGCTAACGCTACACCCCAATCTTACGATGACAAGCACAGCATAGAGACGAGAAGGACCACGAAAGTGATCACGCATCGTGACGTTCAGGGCAGGCCCAACACTCGACGAAGTGCGCTCCGCCGGCATTGCGACTTCTGGGACGCCGATCAGGACGGAGTGATCTACCCATGGGACATATTCATAGGCTTCCGCAAACTCGGTTTCAACATCGCGTTATGTCTATGGGCAGCGGTTACCATGGCTGTGTGCTCATCTTACAGCACCCAGAGTTCTTTCCTGCCGCACCCGCTCTTTGCCATCTACCTTGATAATGTCAACCGCAACAGACATGGAAGCACCACTGGCGCGTACGACTTGGATGCCGAGCTGGACACGCGACGCTTCGATGCGATATTCGAGAAATATGCGGGGGGCAAGGACTACCTGACCGGGCGAGATCTATACGACGTTTGGGCAGGCCAATGTTGCGCGAATGATTTCTTCGGATGGTTTGCGGGTGCCTTAGAATGTGAGTTGCGGCTCATCACCTCACGGACTGAGCATACGATACTGACATTTAACAGGGATAGCCATGTACATCCTGCTATGGCCACAGGACGGAAGGATGCGCAAGGCCGATATTCGAGGAGTATATGATGGTACCATTTTCTGGAGAATTGCTGAAACCCGCTCCCAGCGTTCACAGTCATGAGATTGCGGAAGCCCATGATTGGCTCCACTGGGGCCATACACGACCCAGAAAATTTAATTTACCAACATCACCTTGGTACGATCACATTAGAGTTTGGATGTGACAAACTTAAGCAGCTAAACGAAACACACATTAACTCCCACTGTAATTCAGCGTCTGCCTGAATGTGTCCTCTCCATTAAATTGTTGTTGCAAGAATCAAACTTACGCTACGCCCCTTGATCTCGAAACTGGTAGTCTCGAAATTGCCACTTCAGCCCATAGATATACACCTTCTGGGGTCTGGATCGCCGCTGCACAAGTTCCTGCCTCGATAAATTACCGCCGTCACAATGCGCCACCCCGAGCTCTGCCCATCCTCGGATCACATCACCCCGATGAGTCTTGTTAAGACTCAAAAGCTTGCGCGAGACCGATATCGAGCCTTGAGCTGGAGCCTGTTCCGAGTACCTTCTTCCGACAGTTTTATACGCGTGAATACCCGCGATGGTACGCCCGCACACGCCTTGCCGGACGAGAACGATGGATTCACTGTCGTGCGCCAGTATCTATACGATGTGCTCACCCACACAGGATGGGGTATAGGTTATGAGTGCCCTGCAGCGATAAGAGCAACGGTGGAAGGATGGTATGGGCATGGAGGGTATTTCAAGGCGCAATCGGCAGAGAAAAATGGATTGTTGGATCTCTGTCCCATCAAAGGAAAAGATGGTGAAGGAAACGAAGTATACTTCGAGGACCAACTGAGAAACAAGATCAGGCAATGTGTCAGATACGAGAGCAGCGTGCTATTGTATCGTGAGGATGAGTTGGACGACGCGATGTCTGAAGCAGATACATGTGTGGGCGATAACACTCCAGATATCAGTGTACAGGAACGGGGTTACCTGGATTACGATGGAGACGAAAGCATATGCTCGGTAGTCGGATCGTCGATCGATCTCAACGAGGATGCAATGACCATTGCTCCCCATGAAGACCAGGACGACGACCTCGACCCTTCAGCACCTCATGTACACCGCAGCGACAGCGCAAGGTTTTCGGGAACAGCCGGATCAAAGACACGGACCAGCAAAGACTTCGTATCATCCGACCCCGAGCCCAGAGTAAACGCGCCTTCCGAGATCACGCATGAACTCACTTTTCAGGTTCCTACGCCAAAAGTAGAGCAATCAAAGAAGAGGAAAGAAAGGTCGCATGAAAGTTCAAGAGCCATGGATGAGCTGGTTGCAGGACGCAAGTCATCCATCAGCCATGCAGTGTGCAGCCAAACCAACGCAACAACACCAGACTCGAAGTCTCAACATCAACCGAAAAACGAGCTACCTACTGCATACAAACACGCAAGATGTGGCGCCGTTGTACCCGCCGAGAAGCCCGTGCCTACCGTACGGCAGAGAAACCACAAGGAAAGCACAAAAGCCATCAAACGCCGGACACAGATGACCCACGACACAGCTTGCTCCGTTAGCTCGGTACGCTACGAGACACTGCCACAAAGTCAACTACCCGCAATAAAGGGTCAGCATCTCCTTGTTGAAGCTACGGCGGTGGCGAAGAGGGCGGTCGCTCTAAATCTCTGTGTTGATGAGGCAAAGTGCTTGAACCATCACGAGCGCAATAAACAGAGTCTCATGTCTAGGATGCTTGCGAAAGTGGGTGGAAAGAGAGGGTGAGCGTGTGGTTTCAGAGGGAAGAGGCAGAATACAGCGTAACACAATACCATCTCGTTTGTCACAAGTATGAGTTTAAAGCCAGCGGT